TTTCACTCTCTTGTTCAGTAACTAATACACCGTACAAGTTCACAAACAAAGTCTCTAATTTGAAAAGTAACCCAAATATTAACCCCTACCTAGCAAAAGAAAGATAAGAAATTAAAAGTCACCAACTCGTTTTCCTGTCATCGGCATTGTTCAAAAGTAACCAATTCGGCGAACAATCCTCGAGATTGGCAACACTGAATAAACATGAAACGATCACGAACAGGTTTCATAAGGATTATCCTTTATGCTAGAAGTTAAGTGGCGTGGTTCCACTGACTCATTACTACACTCAGGTGTAATATCTCCTGGTATTTAAACCTTCAACAAGTAAGTCATGTGATCAGCTGTCCTGGTAGAGCAATGACATCCAATATAGCAGACAGTTCCCAATTTGATAGCATTAGGGGCAGCCAGCTACAAAACATATAACGCTATGCACATTGGGAGAGTGATTAGGACCAGAGTCAACCCCCTATTTCAGGGAGGAAAGAAACTCGTATGGTGGGAGTGGCATACTGACCTTTATGCTCTACGACATAGCACTGTGAATGTTATATGATATGGAGATGCAGTTTTACAACCAATGTTGTTGTCATATGCTTGTGCAGTTGGTCATAGCGTTCTACTGATGGATAATTTCACCGAAAAAAGGTCGAACGCCGCCTGGAAGAGTCACTTGTTTTAACCACTCACACCGCAGTAGTGTGTTGTCTGTCATTTAGTCAGACAGTCAGTAAACAGTAATATGATGTCTGATCAGGGATGCTTAACGTTGTAAATTGTACTGTCGTGACATCAGTAAAACGTGCGCATTCCACGAATCACGAGAAGAATTATTCACTCTGTAGGCTACAACACTGCATGACATATGTACTTCAAAAGCAAGAAATAAAAATGTTACTTTTAATTTTGGTTTTATTTACTTTTTAATAGGACGCTTTCGGGGACCTTGCGCAAATACATTTAGTAATAATATGCACCCCACTGTGCTCAGTCTTTTAGCAACTCCATGGAAGAGGAGGATACCGATCGAATTAGTTTGCCAGTACACTCTGGACTTTCATCTTACTGAATTCTGTAGAAATATTTTGCGTAGACGCTTGTTGACACGTGATTCACCTACAAGCAATATTGAACTGGAAGCAACCAGATATAGAAGTTAACCATATTACCCCAGCAACTCATTGATTCACTCGTTTTAAGCTTGCTACATCGATGTATTGCATCCATTAGTGTCCGAAATGGTCGTCTATGCCTTATTAACAAACATTTTTGATCGTTTACTGAGCTGCAAAGTGTGTAGTATCAAATGAGAATTTCTGGAGGTGGATTTCAATAGTAGACTTCTATTTTTCAGGATATCATCGTTTACCTTTTAAACTCGTGTAAAGCGACGACTTTCATTACTGCCAACGTTAACTCATTCCATAAATTAAGACCTGACATGGCTTAGTGGTTAGGGCGCTCGACTCGCTATCTGTGGGTCGCGGATTCGAAATGCTCGCCCTTTCAACCGTTGGGGTGTTATAATGTGACGGTCAATCTTATTTTTCGTTGGTAAAGAAGCCCAAGAGTTGACGATTGATGGTGTTGACTAGCTGCCTACCGTCTAGTCTGTCACTTCTTAATTAGGGACTGTTAGCGCAGATAACCCTCGATTAGTTTCGTACGAAATTCAAAAACAAAACCATACAATAATCGCATTGTTAGAATAATAATTGTCTTAACTGCGGACTAGTCTTTTCCAAATCTTAAACTTCCTTCCTGTTGTTTTGTACTTATTTTCACAACACAAAGAAATCAGAGGCTTTTATTTTATCAATAAAAAAGACAGTACATATAAAGGATTAGGAATTGTGAAAGTAGTTTGTGTGTTTCTAAATATTAGCATAAACTCATTACTGAAAAAACAACAAAAAACATGGTCAACTCCAGGTAGCCCCAAAGACTTTGAAGAGTAACAAAAATTGGAAAATGGAAAGGTCAAACAACTTATTCAACGGAATATATCATCGTTTTGCAGATACATATGTCAGAAAGTTTCTATTGACCTTTAGGTTACTTGATTAATGAAAATATTTTTGATTAGTGGTAATGCCTTTGAAATTACTCACCAGGGCGTGTTTCAGATAAATTATTCTAATTGTACGCGTATATATGTATACAAAGCTAGTGTTACGAAGTGTACGCTAGATAAAATATCCAAAGTAAAGGTCGCTCGTGGCCATTTTTCGATTATTGCATATCATGCTTTTATGTTCATTGGACCCATTAATTTTCATTCTCGACGGCACTGATGAATGCAAGACGTTTGTTTTCTGCCTGATTGTGATGAGGTGTGTCCTGTTACATTGTATAAAAAAAGTAGCATCGTCCTTGCAATGGTGTTTCAGTCTCACGCGTTCGCAGGGCGTGTCACTGAATTACTTCACGTGCCTGCATTGAGTAATTTGGCAAAATGCTGCCTTCCACATGAACCCACTAAAACTACCAACGACAATTTTCATTTATTCATGGTCTGGAAGTTTTGAAAGCATGTGTTTGTGTATATAGTTTTCCATTAGTTTTATTGCAGCTTTAAACATTCATGGAATACGTATACATATATGGGAAGATATCCGTGTAACCTATGTTGTTTCTTTCTCATTTTGGGTTCATAATTATACATAGTTCAGTAACGAGTTAATCTGTATTTGCTCGCATTGTAAAGTGACAGTTTGCCTATTAATGAATTACCGTTGACATCTTATTGGATCATATAAAACTATAATTAAGCATCTTAGATGATTAAAATAGTTGACTGAAATTACTCGTACTGCTTTTTTTTCTCACTTTAGGTCTTTTCTAAACATTTCTTTATTTATATTTCTAAAATCATCGTTATAGACACGGGCTGAAAGATATCAGCTTGCACATCCCTGTTTTATCGATTGAATATTGTGTATATAGCTGTTTGTTACCCTGCTGAACTGATTATAGCTATCAAAGCTACCATTTTGATAACTGTCTCACGTGGTTGCAGTTAAATTAATCTGAAAGTGGTATTGTCAGTGAATAAAGAATTGCAACTAGCTTCGTATTCTCAACAACTGTAAGAACTGGGTAAATTGAATTAGCAGTTTCTAATTTCATGAGTTAAACTTTCAGAATGAAACTAATGATGTCTTCTAAATGCAACCTTTCGATTGCTCAGTGGTAAGCTTGAGGGCTTATAAAACTAAAATTTGAGGTTCGAACCACCCAGTGGGCAAAGATTGGACGTGCATTGTGATGCTTTGCGTTAAAGCAAATTAATATTACCAAGTTCCAGATTTCTCATAGTTTTCTGTCTATTTTATTTATTTTTTTGCTTTTCGTAAAGCTTGAATGATGCATTAGATTACTTGTAGAAATGTTTAATGAATGATAATTACGCTCATTTATCTTATATGTGACTTACAAACGGTTTAAAGGTTTGCTTGCAATTATGTATTTTACAGAAATGCGTTGTTGTTATTTATTTAGACTCTCTGAAGCTTCTTTTATCATCTTGCAACTTGTTTATTTATATATTTAAACTAAGAAAATGCATCCATAACGTAACATTCTTTTTCAGCTATGAAATTGTTCAAAAGTACATAACACTCATAGTGACATGAACGTTTTTACGTATGTATTTTTTTTCGACAGATGACTTTCAGTTTATGTTGTGTCGTAGGTTTTATGTATACAACTTGTGCACGAGATGTGTAACTTATTTCGTTTAAATAGTTTTATGATATAATTACACAGCCTTTATATTTTCATATTTCAACGAAGCTAGAAAATTTAAAATGATTATAAGAAATGGGAAAAGTTTTTCAGTCATTTTTTGTCACACAAAATATAGCATAGAAATTATCTTTTCTCTCTGTATAATTGAAGTTTTTCTTCGAAGTGGGAATACACAGATAATTTAAGGTTGTAAAATATATGTAATATATAATAGACCTAACACAATGTCTTATGAGAAGTATAAATACTTATAATAATGTAAAAGGGATATATCACTTTTGTTCTAACAAATGGTTTCGACCACTGTCGTGTTCGTTGTGTCCCAGCCAGCCTGAAGTACTCTGAATTGAGCGAAACTTGTTGTTGTATCTGATGACAATGCATCTTGATAATAGCCATGCAGCATAGTTTTTATTGCAAAAGACTCCATTGTAAGGCTTTCATGTCCAAAAAAACACCACTCCTCTCTGCTTGCTTTCTATAATCTATCTAATGTAGGAGGAAGAGAGTTCCCAGTGCCAGTTTCAACAGTCTGATCATACAAAAATCGATAGGCACTGCATTGTACAACATGGTTGGTATGTCTTTGTTCAGAATAGCATGAATACTTCCAACTGTTTGAGTTAAATAGGTGGTATGACTGGAAGCTTTATCTTGGTGAACCCATATCCATCTTCTTGATTATGTTGCATACTGTTGCTTGGATCATTGAACTTTGTTCCTGAATTCTCAACTGTTACAAGACAGCACGTTGCTTGTGACAGCTAGAGTATGACTTATTGCGGGTCTCTTTCTGGATGGTTCTGGTATCCCAAATGGATCCACATTTCTGTTTTTTCCATTACCATTAAGTAAAATGGATATCTGTCTTGGAAATTCTAAATCCCCAATATGAACACACATTTATGACCTGAATGTACGAATATTTTACATTAGAAAGGGCTATCATATACCCTTTCCAAAAGCAATCAGTTTTTAGTGACATCGCACTATCTGTGAAATGGACATGAAATGTAGTTTGGCACATGCCTTTTCACCTTGACTTAATATATATTCAATCCTCTATACATGTATAAAACGAAGTATGCTTATTTTCACTGATTCTTAAGCTTTGGTTTACTTTGCATTTTTGAATAACTTTGATATTTATACTGTTATGTAAGTGCCGATAATTTTATCTTTCAATTGTTTATGTGTAAAAGTCATTGATTACATATTTACCTATATAATTTTTTTTTCTTTTACAGTTCGCCTGCATGACAGCATACAAGAGGAAGCATTTCACTATTTAATTTTTGATCTGTAAGTACATAGTTCAGGAAACTGACAACTACATATTGATACTACAGTGTTATATATATTTATCAATATAAGTAGTAGCTAAGGAATTTATTGAGAAAAAGTGAATTTGAAAATCTTGTGGAGTTAATTTGATTTAGTCCAAAACGTATATAAATAGATATTTGTTATTGCCACTGCATTACAAGTTATTTAATCTCATACTTATAGATTTGTGAAGTATTGTAACATTTTCAAGTTTATTTGAATTTTAAAAATATTCACAGATGAGATATGAAGCTTAAATTAAGGTATATTTGAGAGGAGAAAAATAACTTAACAGAGCTATTATGATCATTTAGATGTTTTAAACGTAGAACATTTTAGCATTGTCAGTCATTTACAGTTAAAAACTGTAAACTATATTGTATTTTAGAACAACCAGTAGTAAAAAATACATTACAACTATAGCAATATAAAGAAAGAAAAAGTAATAATAATTACAACTATAGACGACAGAACTGTTTCTTTTAGAGATGGATTATTAATGAACAAAAATTGGGAAGGCTAGTCATGTGATGTTCAATGAGACCATAGTTTTATGTAGGGGCAAAATCCCCACTAACAGTGAGGATACCCAGCTAAGGACCTAAGGCTGAATGGACATAGGGACCTTTTTGGGGTTTCCTGTCACTCATAATGAATAATAATTATTATTAATTGTAATTTTTAATGAAGATGTGTATCAGCTCTACTGGTAGAAGTTATTACATAATAGTAGTTTACTCTGAAAAACCTAACGTTTAGGTTTTGAAAATTTTCATATGACTTTTAAAGAAACAATCCCCATAATCAATATTGTTATTACTCTCAACAATCCATGAGGGAATGCCCTCACTTAGTATACCTTATGCTGTGGAGCTTTGCATTTATTTCAAATACTATAAGTAGCCCCCTGGAAGGACCAAAAGAAATATTCCAAAGTTAAGAATAATTGTGTGGTTTGACAGTAGTTTGCACTTGATAAAATGCTCTTCCATTTAAGTAATAAAATTGTGAATTTTAATGAAAAAAGAAGTCATAGGGCCGATTTATTTTTGGCTTTCTCACACATCACTGAGTTGCACTACTTTTTAATAAGTCTCTCTTGCAATTATCTCACCAAAGGACCATTCAAAAGCCATTCACATAACAAATAACTCTCCTTCTATAAGTTTATCAAACTTTACTAAGACTGCTTACTAAAATACATATAAAGGAAAGCTAGACAAGCTTCATTCTCAAATAAAAGTAATGCCATATCACTTGACAAAGTTATCAAAACTCATGGAACTTTTAGGTATATTAAATTACACAAATACTCCAACATTCCATTAAGGAATGCTACTAATATACAGTTGTTTAACACTGACAAACCAGAGCATGTGGCCTTTGTTTCTGGATGATGAAATCCTTTTAAATTACAACACAATTACACTAACTTGTTCATAGTATGTTTGCATAAAAGCCATTATTTCATCACCAATAGCACTGTTGTCAATGTATATGTAAATATAATTCTCTTTGTCTTTCCTGCATTGCCCACTGCATAAAAGAGAAAGAAGTTTCAAAATCTGTTTTGAAATTTGATAAAAAAATGTAAATTTACTGAATAAATGAAACTATCTTTGTGTATATTATTACTGAATTATTAGTTTTAAGTAAAACTCCTTAGTTGCTTATCATTTATTGTTTGTTTTTGGCATGTTTAAACTGGTTTTACCATGTTGATGTTACTGTAAAAGCATCAAGAACTACCACAACGCAAATCAAGGTTATGTGTCATGTGGGCTCAAGTTCACCAGACAAGGCATTTGATTTATGATCATAAGTAATTAATGATTTCTATGAATTCTACTACCAGTAGCAATATGCATTACTTAATTGTAGAATAACTTGGTTCATTTATTTGTAGTCCTTGTTTAGTAACATAATATGAATAATACATTTCAATCAAGTCTCACTTTTTTTTTAGCTTGTTCAAATTGCCTGTATATATGCCTTAATGTTGAGTTCCTTCCTATACAACTTTTAAGTTGATTGTACAGGTAGTTTTAATGTTTTATGAATATGGCTAATCTATCAATTTTCGTAGGAATCAAACAATTGTTTTCTTTGGGGGGTGGGGGGTATATTTATCTGTGTGTGTGTGTATATGCAGTTCATAGAGATATCTAAAAATGTCTTTTTTTATGTATTCTTGTCTGATCAGATAAAGACGAGTTTGTATATGGTTCCTATAATGGAGCTGTGTTATCCATACTATCTGATGCTTCATATGTTATGTTTGTATATTTACGAGTATACATAGCTGTTAAAGACTTATAAATTATACACTGTTATATACACCCACAATGTTATACATCATGGCTTATATACCCTACACTTACACATATCTGTATATAAAACATATAGTGACTAAATTTACATCAAATCGTCACTTGGATATCCTCTGTTATAACAGCAGATTCTGTGGTAAACTTGCTAACATTTCAAAATGTTTGGCCTACTTAGCAGGTTTAGGTTAAGCTTAATCAGTCTCTAAGCATTGATATGAAATCAGTCAAACTACAAGTTTTTTAAGATTGTATTACATAAGCATAGGGAGTGTAGATGTAACCACATGTAAATAAACATACCTGTGCTGCTATCTTTTTGTCCCCTTTGGAAAGAACTATTGGTAAAAAGGTTGAATTTTCTCATTATTTTTTTAATAATATTATTAGATTATATATTGGCACATGCATTAAGTTTTCATACTTCATATCCTATACATTGTAAAATATTATGATTTACCAATGTCTTATATAAGATATATTAATAATTTCAAAAGTCATACCAGTAAATATCATGTGGCCTTTTCTTTCTTGAACTCTTCATTGGAGTGCTAACTGTAGTACTTGAACATGTAGAAAAATATTTTAATTTTCATGGCCTAATTACTACAAGAATGGTGGCCATAGTATATACCTGAGGGAGAAGTGGGCTTTCTGTTTATACAAGATTATTCAGATGTTATGAAGAATTCAAGCTAATTTCAATCTTGCACAGAAATGAAGGTTTATTTTGAGATAATTTGATTAAATATTTCAATCCATTTATGTTATTCATAATTCAAGAAACGATATTTGATTGTTGATTGGGAGTAAAAGTAAAGACCATTTCATTTTTCAAAAAAGGGAAGTCAGAGTTTTGAG